TTGGGAATCTAAGAACAGCTTAGCTGGGTGGTTCTAGCTGAGGTGTTTCATGAGGTTACAGTGAGGTGTGGAACAGATGCAGCCATCTGGCTCAGTCTGGAGTTTCTGCCTCCCAAGTGGCTTGCTTACATTCCTGGCAAGTGGCAAAGGATGCCAGTTATTGGCAGGAGGCTTCATTTACTCCCCATGTGTTCTCATAACATGGCAGCTGCCTTCCTCCAGAGAAAGTGATGCAAGAGAGAGCAAGGCAGAGAAGCCACAGTGTCTTTTATGATCTAGCCTTAGAAGTCATATGCTGTCATTTTTCTTATTATTCCATTGGTCATACAGATCAGCCCTACTTGGTGTGGGTTGGGAGAATCCCTAGGAGTCATCTGTTAAGTTGGCTCCTACAGTGGGTAGGGACTGGGTGGGAGGTGGGGAGGAGGAATGTCTCAATGCATAATGTACAATTTTACTTTTCGGCCATTTTTTTGTGAGATATTGCCATTTTCTGCAATACCTGATATCTGCAGTTTAAGGACCCTGAATTTTGTCCTCCCCAAAGAACAATACTCCTATCTGCTACAAAATGGAGGAGCAGTTTGTAGGGGAGAGAATCTAAGAGTTTTCTTCTTGAAAAGACTTGTGTAGTCTGTCCTTGGCTCCTGTGCTCCAGGAAGCACCTGGCCTGCTAATTTTCCATCCTTGGTGAGAGGGAGGTGGCTCTGCAGTATTAGTTGGGTGAGTTCTTGGCTTTCCCCACTGCCAGTTTAGAAGTCAGCTTTAATATTTTTGCTAAGTCCATTTCCATTCATCCCTCAGCTTTTCGGCTTTCAAAATTGTGTTGCTATTGGTTTCTTTCTGATTCTCATTGTTCTTGTGGATTTGTTTCTGATTTTTAAAATCAATCTCTTTTTTATTGGGACTTGGGGGAGGGGGAGTAGAAGCCAGTGCATGCATTTGCTTTGTAATTTTTAACTGAACATCCCCTCCTCTTCTCTTTCATCCTCACTTCTTCTGGGTTTTGCCCTTCAATTTGAAAATTATTCTCTTTTCTTTCTTTTTTTCCCTCCTCTGATAAAGCTTCCGAAATGGGTCAAGAACCTATTTTAAAAGCCAAAAACTGAATAAAAGCCCTTTCTATGTGTATTTTTAATTTCTCCGAAGAAAATGGATGGCTCTGGTTAAATAGATAGTCACACACAAAAAAGCAAAGAACTTTTATATATTTCAAAATATTATCCAACCAGAACAGCACTATCATCTGCAGTGAGAAAGGGCATCAGGTAAGGGAAAGTAAATGAAGCAACAAAACTCATGCTATTGACCCAACAGTAGTAGGATGGATGTTCTTGTATTGAGTCAACCACACTTCACCAAACTGCACTGCTTTAGTTCCTCCATGAAGGATGGGGCATACCCCTATGCAAAGAAGTAACTTGTACTGATTTATAATGAGAACTCATCCTCTCATCCAAGGATTCCCTAACTCAGAGATCACTGGTTCTCAAAAGGCACAGAAGTGTCTCCCTTGGGATGTTTGGAAATGGGTGGGGGTAATTTTTAGTTGTCACCAGAGATTGGGCAGCATTGTAGGCATGTAGTGGGGCCAGGGACTCTTAATATCTGGCAATGCTGAGAAAACACTACAATGAAGAATCGTCCTATCCCAAATGCCAAAGGCATCTTCATGGGGAAACTATGCCTGGGAAGGTACCTTCAATGGAGCTGAAGTTACCAAAACAGAAAGTAATCCAAAAAGTACTAGAACTTGGTTAAATATATGCAGATCTAACAAAACATTAGAAGGAAAATTTTAGCTGAAGAATTGAGAGGTGTCAAACCATATGCAGAATTTACCAAGCAAGTTTTCAAAAGTTTGCATAACTCTTAGACCCTCACTCAGAAGATACTAAAGGGTCAAGAGTAGGAAATTTCTAGAGAATTTTGGAAGATTTACTTATAAAGGCCCTATATTGTGAATCCTTAAACTCCCATCAAGAGGAAAGACTTGGGAAGGGGCTACACTCTACTCCAAGTCAAGAGACAGAAAGACTTTAATATCATGTACGCAGCTTAAAACATGGTACTTACAGTTTGGGTAACTGGTGTTTTGGTGACCAAGTCATGCCTGCGAAATCCAAAGGGTGAGAGGTTGACTGAAGCAGCTGTTAGTATCAGGGTAGAGAGTTATGGTTTGAGAGGTGATTGCATTCCAGAGTTTGTTGAAGCCAAAATGAATGAATGTATCCCCATGGAGAAGACATAGACTTTGCAAAGGAAAGAGAACCAGTGTCTTAGATCCTATGCAAGAGGGTCTTCTGAGGAGGTTGGGAGTACCATGATTGTGTAAGGCCACGGTAAGTGTAGTAAGCAACTAGCTGAATAGTTACATCTCATGCTCATGGATGGGAGGGCAGGTAAGAGTGTCTGTCCTCTTGATGTGTGTGTATGTTGGGGGTATCAACCTATTTTAATGGTAGATAGAGAGGTTCTGGAAAAAAAGGAGTTCATTTGATAGTGATGGGGAATTGCCATCCAGTATATGCAGTCCATGATGATCATGGGTATATCCGGATAAATTAAGGTAAGGGGAAACTTTAAGAAGACAAGGAAGAGGTCCACATAAGCTATTTTGAAACAAAAAATTATTGGCCACAGGGGATTGTGGCAGGAGCTGGTGCTCACTTATTGGTGGAGACAGCCATTGCTAGGCAAGTCTTATACAAGCAGCTTATCTGGAATGCCACAATCTTGCAGAATTTCTTGTGGTAGCCCTGCTACAGACTTGTGTCGAGCAGCAAGATGTGCAGGACGTGCAGGATGTTAAGGGATTTATGGGTTTTTAGAAGGTCCTTGTGTTCTTATCTTAGAAATATGAGCATGAGATCCCCTCCTTCATGACCCCCTGGCTTCACTTTGCTTGGGCCTCATGTAAGTGACTTCCCCTTGGCATTGATTTCACAGGGAAAGGGGTAACCAAGGAACCACAAAAGCCACCATAAAGAACAAGAAGCAGCTTTAAACGGCTGTCAAATCCAGAGAAGGGCAAAGCTAGAGCTCTAGAATAGGACCAGTCATGGAAGAACTTTCCTGCTTCTCCATCCCCTTTACTTCCACCTCAGAAGGATCCAGACCTACATGAGCTCAACCAGGAGAGAAAAAGAAGTAACCAGCTGTTTTATCTTCTCTTCAGCTGCAAGATTTCTCATTGCTGCAAAGCCTACTTGAGGGTTCAGAACTTTGACTATCACATGGGAATGGAACATCTTAATTACTGAATTGGGGCCGGGTGTGGTGGCTCATGCCTGGAATCCCAGCACTTTGGGAGACTGAGGTGGGAAGATCATGAGGTCAAGAGATCGAGACCATCCTGGCCAACATGGTGAAACCCCATCTCTACTAAAAATACAAAAATTAGCTGGGTGTGGTAGCATGTGTGTGTAATCTCAGCTACTCAGGAAGCTGAGGAAAGAGAATTGCTTGAAACAGGGAAGTGGAGGTTGCAGTGAGCTGAGATTGCACCACTGCACTCCAGCCTGGGTGACAGAGCTAGAGTGTCTCGAAAAAAAATATATATATATATATATATATATACACACACTGAATTGGGACTGTGTTTTTTAACTTAAAGTGACTGGAAGAATCCATGTGTCTACTTGAGTTTTCATTTAGGGACAAGGGTGGAGCCAGCCCCATTGATATGTTTAAAGGAACAAGAGAATTCTAGACAGCAAGAAGTCTAATGCTGGCACATAAGACCTTAGGAAATGGTCCACCCTCCTTGGGGCAGTGAGGAATAGCTTTGTTGAGGTTAATAATGTGAGGATGGAGAGAGCAATAGATGAGCAAGAGTCAGACCTTGGTCATGACACAGCCAAATCCCAGAGCTGTCTTAGGAAGGGACCACAATACTAAGAGGCAGACAATGTGGGTTCTGGTCCTGGCCCTCCCATTTGCTACTTGCCGGACCACATGCACTCACGTTGATTCTTTAGGTCTCTGTTTCCTCATCTGTACAATGGGTCTATGCATCTTCCCTGCCAGCCCACAGAGCTGTGGTGAAGGTCACATGAAGAGGTGCATAAAAAAGTGCTTGTCAAGTAGTAGGGGACCCACCATAGCAAGGTAAGTTGATGTGTTGATAACAATGAAGGCCAGGCCTAAGGAAAGGGGAAGCAGAACACATTTGTGGTGGTGCTTTTTACTCCCTTACTTCTGGTCGTTTCCATAGCATTCCCCATGTAGGCCATCTAAGCTCCCCACCCCCAAAAGAAAAGTTGAGCACATAAGTTGCTTGACCACATTCATGCACATTCATTCAATGTATTACCTCCTTAGGGTATTTTAATTTTAAAATGGATGAAAGCAGGAAGCCCCCCAAAAAGGAATATATAATATAGAAACATAGGGATCATGAGACTTATGTGAGTGGGAATATGTGGGGGCTGGGCATTGCCCAGGCCACTCTCTGGGTCAACTGGACTCCCTTGTCAAGGAGGTCAGTACTCTTGGGGGCCACACTCTCGAGTCTCAGTCCCCACACCAAGGCCCCGTTCTCATGCTGCCTAAGCAGGGCAGCCGAGGCATTTGGTGGAACTTGGAACTGCCAGCAAGTGGGTCGTTCATGGATTCTGCCTGAGTCCTCCACATAGCCCAGGTGGGAAGAGGCACAGATGAAGAGTTAACGGCACGGTGGCCTTTACTGGAATGCTGACAGCCCTCTCCAGGCCTCCAAGAAGGCCCCAAGTGAAGAGAAGTGACGTCCCCGCAGCATAGTGGAGGCAGCAGTCTCAGCCCCTCTCCGTCCCTGTGTGTCTCTAGCTGGTGTGGCCCGAGCCTCTCGTCCCCATTTTGACTCTTTTGAAGAGAGCCACACCATCTCTACTTCCAAACACCCATACAGGCTGGGGTCACTGGGAGCTGCCTGGGACTGAACTCTGAGGCCCTGAGGTGAAATATGACCTTGAAGCATCACAAAACCTGGAAAAAATGTGGCCAGTCTTCCTCAAATAAGCTGGTTTTCCAAACCTTGTCTCAGGACTTTATTAGATCTTTAAAGCAAGGAGACAAGTGAGTGTGTATTTTCTCTAGCACATGGGTTCACCCTGGACTTGAATCCCACCCCAGCGGAGTCTGGACCGCAGGCCCTGTACCCGCATGCTGGCTACGCCCGTCCTCGGGAGAAGGCCGGCGAGCGCTGCCCTCCGTTGGCGTCGTGGGGCCCATCCTCGAGCATCTGGCCCCCGGCAATGTGGCCATGGCCGTCCACCCAGAAGGCCTTCTCCTCCTCCCAGAGGGCATTCTCCTCCTCCCAGAGGGACTTTTTATCCTCCCACAGAGCTTTCTCCTCCTCAAGGAGGGCCCTTTCCTCCACCCACAGGGCCTTTTCTTCCTCCCACAGGGCCTTGTCCTCCTGAAGAAGGTTCTGGTCTCTTTCCCACAAGGCATTGTCCTCTTTCCAGAAGGCCTTATCCTCCTTCCAGAAGGTGCGGTATTTTTTCCAGAAAGTTTTCTCTTCCTCCCTGAAAGACTTTTCCATTTCCCAGAAGGATTTCTCCTCTTTCCAGAAGGTTTTCTCCTCTTCCCAGAAAGGTCTCTCCTCTTCCCACAAACCCAGGATCTGGCCCCGGAAAGCATGGATCTTGCCTCGGAAAGTCCACATCTCTTCCCTGAAGTCCTCTATTTTCTCACGGAAAGTTTTCATCTCTTCGCGAAATGCCTTTTCCTCCTGCAGCTTGTGCATTAGTTTCTTCTGGCGAACTCTGGGAGAGGATAGCACCAGAGGCCGGAAGCACGCAAACCCCGTCCATCTGCTCACCTTGAAGGAGAACATCTTCCTTATCAGCCAGAATGGCGGGGTGGCCATGAGGGATGACAGACCATTGGCCAAGTCCAGGTCGGCTGGTCAAACCCTGCAGGGGCAGCAGAAAAGACAGGTCCATGAGTGTCACATGCCAGGGGACAGCACTTGGGCCTGTACTCCTGAATTTGGGAAAACGTAATCACTGCTCTTTGTCCCCATGGTGGTGTTTGTGAGGGACAAGCTTTGGTAGAGAAGCATGCAGAGTGGTCATGCCTTTGAGCTGGAGAGGCAGCCAGGACACTCAAGCTCAAGGCTACTAAAACCATAGACACTCGGCCAACAAGGACAGATACCCTAGCTGAGGGCTAGGGTGTGACATGATATAGCCAAGAAGAATTTATGTTTGTCAAATCAATCTGAATTAACTTAGGTTTTGGTGTACTCACTTGGGAATGGTTCCTAGCTGCCTATAAGCGTGCTCACATGTGAATGACCTCTATTATGAGGCTGGGACACAGAGGATAGACCCACTGACCTCAGCAGAAAGGAGGGGAGTGTATTTTAGGAGAGGAGTCTATTTTGGGAAAAGTATTTTAAAACAAAAAGGTGAGAGACAATGGTGAATGTTGCCAGCGACATGGACCAAGAAGACTCTCACACGATACTGCGTTATATGGAACAATCAGAAAGACACCTGATGACCCAGCAGCTCCAGTCACAGACATAAACTCTGAAGAAACTCGGGAACTGTGACCAGGATACATGTACAAGCGTGTTCAAGGAGTTTTGTTCATAAGAGCCCAACTTGGCCGGGCGCGGTGGCTCATGCCTGTAATCCCAGCACATTGGGAGGCTTAGGCAGGCAGATCATGAGGTGAGGAGTTCAAGACTAGCCTGGCCAACATGGTGAAACCCTGTCTCTACTAAAAATACAAAAAAATTAGCTGGG